CCGGGCCGGTTCAGCCGCCTGCGCTGGAGCCTTTACAGGAATTATTCTCCTTTTTTTTTTTTTTAATTTTTCCCCCCCTACCTGGGCTCTGTCTCGGTGATGCGGTGACCGGCGGAGCCCCGCTCCGCTCCCGGGGATATCGGCTGGGGAAGGGATTCTCGTCATCCCCCCCTCCATGAACCGCTGGGATCAATCCATGGCGGAGCCGCAGCATCCCCGGGCCCGCAGCACGGCGAGGGGAGAGCGGCGGCTGCAAAGCGGCGGCGCGGGAGGGAACCGGGGCTCTGCGCTCCGGTCCGGCGGCGGCCGAACCCCCCGTGTGCCCCCCGGGATGGGGAGGCGGCGGCTCCCGCCCTTCCCCGCCGGGCAAATCCCCCCGGGAGCGGCTCCGGGGGGCGGCGGGCGCTCACCGGTCGAGGCCGATGAGCAGCCGGCCCTTCTCCTCGGAGCCGCTCTCCTTCTTGAGGTCGGCGAAGACCTGCGTGAAGTAGTGCGGGTCGGCGTTGACCTGCAGCATCTTGGGGCTCATGAGGTCGATGATGGAGAGGCAGCGGTCCCAGAAGGCCTCCTTACAGCTCTCCACCAGGAAGGGCTTCAGCGGGTACGAGATCTCGTTGCCCATGTAGGAGTAGGAGAGATACAGGCAGGTGAGCAGCACTGCCTGCAGTTCGTGGTCGCTGGCCACCTCGGCCGAGATGACGTCCCGGCACAGCATGTAGAGGAAGACCACGTTGGCCGGCGTGATGAAGCCCTGGTCCTGCCAGCCCTGCAGCAGCAGCGAGCGGTCCACGGAGCGCAGCCAGAGCACGGGGTCGGTGGGCGAGAGGTGCTTCAGGCGGTAGCAGCGGCGGCACAGGAACTCGCCGAGGCAGCGCAGCAGCTCGCTGGTGGACGCCTGCACCACGACCCGGCGCGGGGTGGCGGCGGCGGCGGCGGGCGCGGCCGGGGGCGCCTTCTGCGCCGAGGCGAGGGCGGCGGCGGCGGCGGCGGGGGGCGGCGGGGGGGCGAAGGTGGCGAGGTTGGCGCAGGAGAGCGATTTCTTCAGGTTCTCGTTGTTGAGGTGGGTCACGTTGCTCTGGTAGCCGCCGTTGGGCTGCACCTTCTTGGAGCTCTTCTTCTTGGCGGAGACGGCGGCGATGCGCTTCCAGGGCAGCACGGAGATCAGCGAGTGCCGCTTCAGGCCCTTCTCCTTCGCGTTCTTGCTGTTCTGCACCGCCGTGTAGTGCCCCACCGTGGCCGCCCCCTCCTCGAACAGCGGGGCCTTCCGGTAGCTCGGCGACAGCGACAGCACCGTGCCCATGGCGCCGGCCGCCCGGCGGGCGCACGGCGGGCCCCCGCCGCCCGCCCCGGCCCCGGCCCCGGCCCCGGCCCGGCCCGGCCCGGCCGGCCCCGCTCTCGCTGCTCCGCCGCCGCCGCCGCCGCCGCCGCTCAGCGCCGCGCCCGGACCCGCCCCGCGCCGCGCGCGCTCCCGCCGGCGCAGTGCGCGCGCCCGCCGCCCCGCCCCTCGCCGACACGTGCGCCCGCCGCGGCAGCCGAGGCCACGCCCCCTCCGCGACAACAGATGCTGACGGCCACGCCCCCAGCTGAGCAGACCCCGCCCCCGAACGGTGACAGCCGGTGGAGCCCCGCCCCCTCATTGCCTTCAATGGTTTGTGCCCGCCCCTGTCACTTCAAGCCACGCCCACACATCCCAGGCCGCGCCTCTCACTGTTTATGAATGACGGGTTCCCCGCCCCTCACGGCCCTGGCCCCGCCCCCGGGCCGGCTCCGCGTTGGGGTCCCGGAGGTCGCAGAGCCCGCGGACGAACCCCCCGGGCCCCCAGGCAGGGCCGGGCACGACACGGAAGGGAAAAAAATAAAAAGAAACGAAAATAATTTTTTAAAAATCCTAAAATTCAGATTTAAAACGCTTCTCCACCGACATCCCGAGCTGCACCCCGGATTCGCACCCAGGCCCCGTGCCCCGCACTGCCCTGGCCGCTCTTTGCCCGCCCGGCGGGGCCTCCCCAGCTCCGGGCCGGGGAGCGAAGGTACCGGGGCAATGAAATGCCCGGCACCGCGTTCTGAGGCCCGGCCGAGTTTGGGGAACGCGCCTGCAGCTCCCGAACCCCCGGGGTCCCACGGCTCTGCTTGGAGCCACCGCCCGGCCCAGCCCAGCGCCCCTTGCCCGGACGGGAATCCCATTCCCGCTGTGACCAGGATCTGACACTGGGATCCCATTCCCACTGTGGTACCGAGATCTCATTCCCACTGTGACAGGGATCCCATTCCCGCTGGTACCAGGATCCCAGGATCCCATTCGCACTCGCATCGGGATCCCATTCCCACTGTGGATCCCATTCCCGCCGGTACCGGAGCAGCGCCGGTTCCGGCGGGAGGCAGCGGCAGCCGCGGCCCCGTCGGTCTCTCCGTGACCTGCAGCGACGCTCAGAGGCCGCTCCGGCCGCGGAGAGCGGAGCCCAGCACCGAGGGAAGCTCGGGCACGTCCCGGCCCGGCGCCAATGACCCAAATTAATTTATATTCATTTACACCTATTTATGCCCTGCCCAGGACCTGCGGCTGCCAATGCCAATCCCACAGCAGGGAAATCTCAAAAAAAAACCCCAAAATCTCCCGTGAGGACAGAACTGTCCCAAAAACCTGCCTGACAATCAGAGCACATTTTAAGCTACTGTGGGACCCGGTTTTGGTGGGTGGTCTGGGCTCTCTCCTCCCAAAACCACGGGGACAGTGACAGCCCAGTCTGGGCACTGCTGTCACTGAGAATTCCCTTTGTCCATTAAAAGATCCTCCAGATCCAAGCAGCAATTTTCACTTTTAAATTCAGCCTTATGAAGTTTAAGCCAAAAGGGTTTAAAACCAGGCTCTACAATTTGAGGGGGTTTGGCCCTAATTTTAGCACGCTTGGAGGTGCCTCAGAAAACCCCATTGCTCCAAAGGCAACTCCAGGGACTGATGTGTCCCCAAACCCCCCTGATCCCATACAGGGCACCAAAGCTGGTGCCACCACAGCCCTGCTGCATCAACCTGCTCAGGTCCCCTCATCCCCAAGCACAGGGCCCTGCCAGCCTGGTCACATTGTCACCTGTGGGGTCAGGATCAGCTCTGTCCCTCTGGAGGATGGCAGCTGGAGCAGGACATCATCCCCAGCAGGGACACACAGGACAGAAGCTGCAGGAGGACAGGGTTGGGTGGGATATCGAGCAGGAATTGTTCCCTGTGAGGGTGGGCAGGCCCTGGCACAGGTTATTCCATGGATGCTCCATCCTGGCAGTGCCCAAGGCCAGGCTGGAGCCCCCAGGGACAGTGGGAGGTGTCCCTGCCATGGCAGGGGTGGCACTGGATGCTGGTTTAGGTGACATCCAACCCAAGCTCTCCTGAGATTGTGACTCCTCATCCATCTCCACCCCAGCCTCCGCTCATCCCATGAATGGATTTCCTTTCATTCACCCACAATCAGTACCTAATTCAGCAAATCCCATCCAAATGACAGAACCCTGGGGAAAATGCCACTTCAGGGCCATCACAGTGAACTGGACAGAGATGTTTGGGGAAGAATCTCACAAATCAGAGCTTAAAAAATGAATTATTTTCTTTTTTTTAGGAACTAGAAATGCGTCTCTCTGCTGCCTGAGATATAAGAGCAGAGTGAAACCCACCACACTTTCTGGTTTCTTTCCTGCACCACCTGGTGTCCCAGGAGTTTCAGCTGTAAAAATTCAAGATGTTGTATCAAAGACACCCTAAACCTCCTCCCCAGCCTTTTGAGGAATCTGAGCCTGGCCTGGTGCAGTGTGAGACTCCAATACAGCAAAAGGGCATGATCAGGAAAGGCTGGAGGGGTGAGAGGACATTTAATCCACTTTTCAACATAATAATTATTATTATACATTCAGTGCACTAGAACTTGTTGTGCCAGGGTCATGTCACAATCCATAAATCTTTTGTGATGCCAACTCAAAGAGTCCCATCTGGTGTCTCCAAAATATGGTCCCCAAGGATGCTCTGGTGAGGAATGATCCCACCCTTCCTAAGTAAAGGACCAGCCCTGGTGGCTGAAGACAGGAGACAGAGGATTTTGAAAAAAAAATTCTTTATTGGAACTCATCTGAACATCAGATATACCTGGTGTTGGTTAGCAAGAACCGTTTGTACATTTGATATTGATGGTGCCAAAAACCCAAACAGCGACTGACTGGAGGAGATGGAAATTAAGAATAATAAAATAAAATAAAAGGTTGGAGAGATCAAAATGTGAACAGAAAAGGGGAAAAAAATCAGCCAGTCTAAGAGTCAGCATGAAGGCAAAATATTTCCTGATAAAACAGAATCCTTTTACAAAATATAAATTTTGTAAGAAAAAGGTGGAGAGGGAAATAGAGACAGAGGGGAAAGAAAAAAAAACAAAGATGAGCAGGACAGAGATGCAGAAGCTTACACTGCCCAAATGGCATTAAAACTTACTGGAAACCTCACCAGAAAATGGAACATGCTGGAACACACCACGCTCCATCCACCCCAGGGCTTTGGGGCCGAGGAGGGAGCTCCCAATGGGGCTGTCCCACCTCAGTGGGGACCCAGAGCTCACAGGCACGGCTGGAGCCCGCCCATGGCCACCTGCTCCTCCTACAGTGCAGGTGGGGAGGGAGGGAACACTGAAATCTATCTTAGACAAGAGCATGCAAGGTCAGGCTCCAGGAGAGCTGCGCCGTCCCCTCCAGCCCGCAGCAAAACCATCGCGGAGCTGCTGCTGCTGCTGCTGCTTCCAGGGGGTCGCAGGCCTTGAGGATGGAAAAGAAACCAGCAGTCTGTCTGTACATTTTGGGGTTGTTTGGTTCAGTACAAATGGAATCGAGTTGGCTGCTCGCTCACCGCCAGCACGTCTCCGATTTCGGGCCGGAGGAGATGAGACCAAGTGGATTTGGGCACCTACTGGTAACAAAACGCTGTCCCTGCTGAACTCTGCCGTCCCTCAGGAAGTGGAAAGCACATGTTTAGGTAGTGTAAGCCTTTTTCCTTTTATTTAGAATACCCTCTTTGTTTAAACAATATTCCCCCCCCAGATACAAAGTTCGGCCAGTAAAGATTACATGGAAACTGGAACACGCATCGTCTGGAATACAAGATGCACCGGATGAGGAAGTTTAAAAACTTTCCGAGCGAAAAGTAGAACAAAGAAGAAAAAAAAAAAAGTCTCCTAACATTTTCCCAAAGGTTTCACTCTCCTGTCACACACACTCTCCAAATGACAGCTAGCAAATTCAACTCTGCAAAGAGAAAACAGAGCCACGTCACTCGACAGGAGAGGGGACAAGGCTCGGGGACATGGCAGGGCTCAGCAGTGACCCCAGAGCTCTGCAGCCCCCTGGGAGCCCCCACTCACCTATGTCAACTTCTTGGCTTTGTTGTAGAGCGAATCCACTACTTTGCTCATGTTCTGAATGGTCTCGAGGGCGGCCTCGTAAGTTTTGTCTACGGGGGGTTCGTCGAAGATGATCAGGACGCCCTCGCCCTGGTCAAGGATTCCTGTGGGCACAAGCAGCTCTGAGCTCTGGGATGCTCGATGGGTCACAGCTTCCAGACAGCAGGAATTAGAGATCTACCCCAGGAAGATCTGCAGGGGCTGTGCAGGGTTTGGGAAGGGCTCACGTGTTGGGCTGGGCTGGCTGATTTTGGCCAGGACTGCTTCAGCATTCCCAGAAAAAGCCACATCCCAGAGAACTTTAGCATTCCCAGAAAAAGCCACATCCCAGAGAAGCCATCCAGGAGATGAGCATTGCTGCCATCCCCTACCACCTCCCTGCCTTCTCTGTGCCCAGCAGGAAGGCTCAGCACAGCTGGTTTATCCTGCAGCTGTGCCCAGGTGCCAGGTGGGCTCTGTCCCCTCACAGTGCCCTGTGCTGCTCCCTGGCATTGCCCTGGCTCAGCCACATCCAGGGACCACAGGACCAAGGGGACAAAAGGACCAAGGGGACAGCTGGTTATCTGAGGGGTTATTGGGGCAGCAGCCAAGCCACAGCAACCAACAGAATGTTCTGGACACAAACAGCCAGCCACAGCTTGTACAAACACAGGGCAGTCAGAGCTGAGGGATGCACTCACCATGAAACTTCTTGTCCAAGATCATCTGTGACAGTTTCCTTTCTACCTCAGCCTGAAAGTGAAGCAGAATATTAAAAAGTCTCCCAGAACACATAAAACAACATGGACTTTGCTGCTGCACACTTGACAGCCCTGGTGGGACATGAGCAGCTGCTCCTCCCTGATGCCTCAGAAAATTAGAGAGCAGCTGTTAATGAGGGAGCAGCAGGGTGTCCCCTGGCCCACAGGTGACACTGTAGCTGTCACTTCATACCTGTGGGGGTTCTGGAACTTTCTAACTCAGTTCAGCAAGGATTTAGACAAGAGTTGGCCAAGTTTTATTTAATCCACCCAGCAGAGCTCCTGCCCAGCAGCAGGAAAGGCCACAGGAGGCACAAAGCAATTTTTAGTCTGAATTTTTTCATATCCTGAATATCCTAAATTAAGGATGTGTTAAACACCACCAGCTGGGTGCAGACTGTGAGCCAGGGGAGGTCTAGGTTGGATATTAGGGAAAATTTCTTCATTGTCCAGCCCAGGGCAGAGGTGAAATCTCTGATTTAACACATTTGTGGATGTGGCACTTGGGGACATGGGTGGCTTTGGCAGTGCTGGGGGAATATCTCAATGAACTCAATGATCTCTCTTTTCCAACCTGAATGATTCAGGGATTCTGTGAGCACAAAGGCTGAGCTCAGCTCACTTCCCAAGCTCTGCCCTTAATGCCAGCACAAGACAGCAGCCCTGGGGTGCAGCTGGCTGGGATTACAGTGGATTCCCCTAAAACTGAATCTGTCTGGGATTATGTGTAAAGCACTGACTGCACAGCCAGTGTGACAGACACATCCCTAATGCCACTGCAGGCTGATTAGCTGGATCCTGGATCTTTAAGGGTCTAGCAAGGTTCCCCTGGGGGCACTCAGGGGATTAAACACAGGCCATGGGGGAACACCGGGCTGGTCACAACAGGGCAGAGGAAAATCTGCCTCCAATAGAGAGCAAGAGTAAAACCCATGGGGGAAGGGAACAGCACAGCAAAGTCTGGAGCACAGGAAGCCTCAATGCCTCCCAGGAGCTGCCTGGGTCAGAGTTTATTCCCAAGGGTGAGATTTGCCTGGAAATGCTGTGGATCTCATCTGTCACCCTTCATGTTCATGACAAATGCCATTTAAGCCCAACTCCTCTGAACACTGGCACTGATTTCTGGTGAGGTTCTTACCTTTGAGAGCTTGATGAGGCTGGATATGTGTTCAATCTATAAGAAAGACCAACATTCAGTTAATCTTCAGCTGCAATTTGGACACACAAAGAGGTTTGGGGCTCTTCCATGGACCTGCTCAAGGGCCTGGAAATGCTTTGGCCTAAATATCCCCAGTGGTTTTCTCCACTCTGCAGCTTCAGGTCCTTCAGGTTTCACATTTGATTTTAACTAAGATGGACTGGACCTTAAAGCCATTTCAGTCTGAAAGGTGAAATCTCTTCTCCAAGATTATGGCACAGAGGCCTTCAAAGCCAAATGCTGCCACCTTGAGGGTTAAAAGCCAGTCAGAGAGCATGAGAGAAACAGCTGGAAAGGCAATGACTGGAATGTGGCTCTCCAAAGGTCCCTTCAGCCTCCTCCTTGTGATTTAACATGATAACCCTGAGCTCTGAAAGTGCTGAGCAGCTCAGAGTAAGGAGTGTTCATATGGGAACAGAGGGTCCAGCCCCTCCAGGGGCTGCTGGAAACATTTACCTGTACTCTGGAGAAGGGTTCAATGACTCTGATCAGGTTCTGTTCCAATAAATTATCATAGAGCTTGGCCAGGTGAGTGTTTATGATGGGGTCGTCCCTGAGCTCCACCTTGTAGTCTGTCAGAGCCTGTGGGGACAGGGCAGGAGGAAATCATTCCACAGCAACAGCTCCTCAAGGTCCTCTGAGGATGAGATCCCCTCCCAGCCCAGCCCCATGGCTGATCCAATCCCTAATTTAGATAAAAACCAGCAGGTCACAGCAGCCTCTGCTTTGTCTCCACCCTGAGGGAGCTCAGAGAGCCCCAGAGCAGGACAGGACCCTGATGTGGGAATCCTCTGCCTGAGCTCTGCAGCATTCCTGTGAAACCAGGAAAAATTTTAGGGAGATACACATCACAGTGACAGCACCTAAAGGAAAACTGCTTCTGATTTGGCTCTGCAAAAAGAAAAAAAAAAAAAGGAAAAAAAAAAGAAAGAAAAAAAAGAAAAAAAAAGAGGGGGAAAAAAGAAGGGGGAAAAAGAGAAAAAGAAGGAAAAAAGGAGAAAAAAAAAGGAGAAAAAAGGGGAGGAAAAAAGAAGGGAGAAGAAAAAGGAAGGGAGAAGAAAAAGGAAGGGGGAAGAAAAAGGAAGGGAGAAGAAAAAGGAAGGGAGAAGAAAAAGGAAGGGAGAAGAAAAAGGAAGGGAGAAGAAAAAGGAGAAAAAACAGGAGAAAAAAAGGAGGAAAAAAAAGGAGAAAAAAAAGAAGAAAAAGAACAAGAAAAAAAGGAAAAAACTGGGTTCAACCAAGTTTCCTCCCCACGCACTGAAAACGCAGCCAGTTGATTGTTGGGGGGTATTTCTTGATGCATTCCATCAATGTTTCCATGGTTTCCTGCTGTGGGATGTAACAGCTTCTCCAACATTCCAAACCTGGCACTTCTGCCCATCCTCTGTGTCCCTGACTCACCTTTTCAAAATCTGCCAGCGACCGGTTCTTGCTGGCCTGTGCCACACACTTTAGTGCTTCTGTCTGTGGGGAAAGAGAAGCAGAGCAGGTTATTTATTTCCCTCTGGATTCTCCTCTCAGGGTGAGCACGCCAAGTGTGCAGCACCCTGGGAATGTGCTCAAACAACAAAGCAGGAATGTTCCTTGTCAGTGCCACAGGGAGAGTGAGAGCAGCTGCTGAGGGGAGGAGAAGCCTGGCAGCTGCAGGACAGGACCTGAAACATCTCCAGAGGGACAAAGCACCCTGACAGCACCAGCTGCAGGTTGGGAGTGAGTTTGATGCTGTTTTTAAGGCATTTTGGCACTTGCTTAATGAATGTGGCCATTTTGGGCCCTCCAGCACAGCTGAGTGACAGGGGCAGGGCAGCAGCTCCTATGGACAGCAGCAGGAATGAGCCTTCTCTACACCCCATAAAGCAAAAACCACATCCCCAAACAAGCCCATTTACACCCCACACTGGTAATTCCAGCAGGGAACAGCAGAGCAGAGCCCAAGGAGTGGGGAGGACAGGACAAGGACAGTCTGGTGCCTCTGGTGCACCCCAGGCTTCTGCTGCCCCATCTTTTGGGGCTGCCCTATGCAAAGCCAGGAGCTGGATTGGATCCTTGTGGTCCTTTCCCACTGGGGATATTCAGGATTGTCCCCAGGGCTGCTCTCTCCCTGCTCCCCCAGCAGGAATTGCTGCTCAGGGCTGGCTCAAAGCACAGCCAGGATCCCCTGCTCTGGGGAGGAGCCTCAGCTGCCACTCAGGGCAGAGGGATGAGGCAGGATTGGGGCTGCCCCTCCTGATCCACCAGGGATATCCCCACGTCAGACCTTTGAGCTCTGCTAATTCCCAATCCCCAGTGGGAGGGGAGCAGCAGCTCCTGCGTCACAGCAAAGCCCAGGCTGAGCTCAGCCCCTGAGGGCAGCAGGATCCCAGCCTGGCACAGCCCCTGGCACAGCCCCTGGCACCCCCTAAAAGCACCCCTGAGTTGAATTTGAGGGTGGTTTTCCCAGCCTGGCAGAACAAGCAGGGGGTTTCACACGTCCTTGGCTGCCTGAGCTGCACTGCCAGGAGTGGATTCTCAGCAGTGGATACAATGAAATAAAAGCAGCAACTCAGATTTAAGCACTGAGAGCAGGGAGACAAGGAGCTGATGGCATCAGGCAGTTTGTAGCTGATGAAGAAAAGGAGAAAAACAGGGAAAATGAAGAGAGCAGCCCAAATTCTCTGGTTGTGAAAATCACTGTAAAACCCTTTGAAGGCAACAGACTTCTGGTAATTTAATCAGGTCTGGATCTCGTTCAGGACACTCAGGAGTGATTGGTATTTTGGTATGACAAGAGCAAAGTGTTTGACAGGAAGACTGAGGCAGCATTGAGGTAAGAGGAAGGTAGAAAGGGTTAAATTTCTGTACCTGTCTTCCTGCATACCGCAGAGCAAGCTTCCCACTCACTAATGCTTGCACATCTTCTGGGCTGCAGACACAGGGGAGGGAGCAGAGGAATTATACAGGAACATGGTCAGCTTAAACCCCAGAGCACCCCAAAAATCCCCAAATGACAGCAAAGAACTGCAGCCCAAATCCAGGAGCACTGATCAGGTGATAAAGACACTGCTTGAGCCCATTAATTCAACAAAAAGCCCTTCCCCTGGAAATACAGGCAGAATTCTTCCCAGAACCAGCTGGCACCTACCTGTTGAGCATGATTTTGCACAGCAGCATGTATTTCAGAGCAGTGATGGCTTTGGGGTTGTCAATTGAATCATTGCCCTCAAACGCCTCATAAAAATATGAATAAGCTGTTTTCCAGTCCTTCTCTTCTGCTGCATGGATAATACCTGGGAGAGGCACAAACAGGTTAATTGTGAGCATGGCTGGGAGAGGACAGAATAATTTGGTTGTTCAGTGCTTTATCTATGATTTCAGTGAAGAGAAACCTTTCCTCCTGCGCCCCTCATGTCTAGCAGAAGAAAATCCACAGCCTCTCTTACAAGGACATTTTTAGCCAGACAAGCTTGGGGCACTTCAGGTGAGTGTCTGCAAAGTGGGACAGGAACAATGTGTAATGGGCCAGGAGCACAGAGTGAGGCTGGAACTGCAGTGCCTGGGGAGCTCATGGACCCTCCACCACTGGCAGCTTCCAAACTGGCCTGGAAAGTGTCAGGAACAAAGCTGATGTCACCTGAGGCAGAACTGGTGACATCCTGAGGCCCCACTGTTGTATTTGCAGGGTCCCTCATGGCAGGAAGGAAGGATGCACCTGACTCCATGTTCTTGAAGGCTAATTTATTATTTTATTATACTGTATTATATTGATGAATACTAAACTATACTAAAGAATCCAGAAAGGATACTTACAGAATGTTAAAAAAGATAGCATCAATATAATAATATTACATTAATATATTAATATAATAAGACTGTATTAATATATTAATGCTATATAGTGTTAATGCTATATAATGTTATATTAATGCTATATTAATGCTATATTAATGCTATGTTATGCTATATTATATTATGTTGTTATATTATGTTATTATATTATATATTACATTATATTAATATTATATTTATACTAGATTATTATATTTATATTATATTTGTATTATATTTATATTTATATTATATTAATATTATATTTATATTATATTAATATTATATTAATATTATATTATATTGTATTATATTATATTAATATCCATATTATATTAATATTATATTAATATAATGAAAACTTGTGACTTTTTTCAGAGTCCCAAAACAGCTTGGCCCTGATTGGCCAAAGAGTGAAAACAACTCACAGCAGAATGCAATGAAACAATCACCTGTAGGTAAACAATCTCCAAATACATTCCACATGAGCAAAACACAGGAGAAGCAAATGAAATTATTATTGTTTTCATTTTTTTCTGAGACTTTTCAGTTTCCCAGGAGAAAAATCCTGGCTGAAGGGAGTTTTTTTCAGAAAATGTGAATGTGACAGCCCCAGCAAGCACCACTTCCCATGATTCTCTCATAAAACACAAATATCAGACAAATGATGTGTCAGGACAGTGCTGGGTGCTGTCCTGGTCCTGGAGGCCTCACCTGACTGCATGTCCAGTGCTGCCTGCAGCTTGGGGGGACAGTAGATGGCATTGGCTGTAGTCCTGGCCGAGGTTAAGGCTGCTCTTGCTTTTGGCAGATTGCTCAGGGCATGGTAAGTCTTGCTCTCTAGGAGCTGCACCTCCACCAGCAGTGCCTTGTCATCCATCTTCTTCAACTCCCTGAGCAGCTGGGAGCCTGGCAGAGGGCAAGGACAGCACTGTGAGCTGCTCTGCATCATCAGCACCCACAGAATATCCACAAAACATCCACCCAAAGCCTCTCCAGGGGCACCCACCCTCCCCAGCAGCCAGGGCTGTCAGGGAGGGACAGAACTGTGAGCTGCTCTGCATCAGCACCCACAAAACATCCACAAAAAGCCTCTCCAGGGGCCATCTGTGACAGTGTTCACAGGGGTCTCAGGATGAGGGAAGAATTGAGGATCTGACTCCATGTTTCAGGAGGCTGATTTATTATTTTATGATGTATATTCTATTAAAACTATACTAAAAGAATAGAAGAAAGGCTATTTCATCAGAAGGCTGGCTAAGAATAGAAAAGGAAAGAATGATAACAAAGGTTTGTGGCTTGGACAGAGAGTCTGAGCCAGCTGGGCTGTGATTGGCCATTAATTAGAAACAACCACATGAGACCAATCCCAGATGCATCTGTTGCATTCCACAGCAGCAGAAAACCATTGTTTACATTTTGTTCTTGAAGCTTCTCAGCTGAAAATATCCTCAGGAAAGGATTTTTCAGAAAATATCATGGCTACAGCCACCCACCCTCCCCCAGCACCAGGGCTTTCAGAGAGGGACCTGAGGCTCACACAACCCGTCCTTCCAAGGAAAAGCAATGGAGAGGGAATAATGGGGGCACAGTGGCAGTGCACAGCAGGAGGATGAAGCAGTTTTGTGGCAGAGGTGTGGGGTGTGGGCAGCACAGTGCCCTGGAGGGGATGGGCAGCTGGGATGGGCACCCTGGCATTTCCCTCTGCTGCACAAGTGCCCCCTTGGCAGCATGGAGCACCCTCAAGAAACTCCTGAGGACACGGGATGAGGAAGGAATGATTTTTCTCATGACATCTGCAGGTCAGATTTAGCCTAAGAAATGTCAGGACAAGCTGCCACATCACAGCTTTGTGGTGAATGAGCAATCCCAGAGGAAACTTGTCTCCTAAAATCCTCCTCCTCCCTTGCTGTGCTCAGGAGCTGATAACCAGAGCTGAAACTGCAGAACTGGCCAGAAATAAATGGATTCTGCCTGGAAACATCCCTGAGAGACCCTGCCTGCACCTACTCCCCATGGCCACCTCCTCAGCACACAGGAATGCTGTGCACAGCACTGACATCCTGACAGGGCACAGAGCCTGCCCCAGAGGGACTTCCCAACTCCCCAGGCTGTCCCACCACCAGCCAAGGGATTAAATTAATTAAGCACAGCTTTGGAGTCAGTTTAAACCTGAGTTCATTACCTGTCCCTTTGCAAATGAGTTCTAATTCCACCCTGAATTCCATGAACTCAATATTCTGACGAGATACATGTCACCAGGGGATTCTGGACGTGACACAGGCTCGTGCCACCATACAGGTTAAGAAGGTCTGGGTCCCAGGTGAGCAGTTCAGGCTGTGCCAACACCCCTCAGACAGCTTAAACCTCACTGACAGCTTAAACCTCACTTGAACCTTCAATCTCAATTACAGCTTAAGCCTCACTTACAGCACTGCAGGCATTTGCAAAATGAGCATTTTAAAAGCACCAGGGGAGCTGCAGAGGCCCTGCTTCACTCAGCTTTGGGGCAGAGCAGGAGTTCACTGGTTCATTTCCATCCCTTGGGTGGTGCAGGGGCAAATTCTTAAAGCCTCCCTAATGACACCCACAGAGGTTTTGCCATTTCCTGAGCAAATTGGAAAAAAGTTCTTTTCTGTTTTCAGCCTCTGTGGCCAGAGCAGAATATTCCAGTAGGAGCTAAACCTGTGGCTTTCAACTGGATACAGCTCCCAAAATTATCTGCAATGAACAAATCACAGAATGGGATGGAAGGGGCCTTAAAGCTCAAAAATGGGCAGGGACACCTCCCAGGCTGCTCCAAGCCCCCCCAAACTGGTCTGAGGCCCAGGTGAGATGGGTGAGGATGGTGAAACAGAGAACAAAAACACCTCTAAGAGCTGTCATCACCCAGCTACAGACAGAACTGCACCAGCACTGAGGAATTAAAACCCAAATCCTGCAAAACCTCTCAAGGAATGTGAGACACGTGCTGGCTTTCCTTGGCAGCAGTGAATGAAAAGCAAAGATTTATCACCACCTAGTGGGAGCCTCACCTAGCTGCAGAGCTTCTTGGTACCTCTTGGTGTCAAAGTAGAGAGAGACCAGCCTGGCCTGGAGAACAGAAAAGGAAACCGGAAGAGATTTGTTTTGTGAAATGAACTTTTGTATTCTTCTCTGCACAAATTTCACTATTTTAATGTGTATTTGTCACATTGTGTGGTCCAGTCATGCAAGGCCTCCTGCACAAGGAGTAAAACTTTGCATTTTTAAAGAGAATTTCAGTGTAATTAATGCCCTCCCCTGACATTAATTGCACACAAGTGCTCTGCTTTTCCAGGTATTCAATGTGCCAAGGGGATGATGCTGCTCCCCACATTTGGGATGTGGCACCTACCTCCAGAGCCTGGCGTAGGAAAGTCCTTTTCTCTGATTTGGCCCATTCAATACACTCTAAACACAGGTCAACCTTGAAGGGAGCAGAAAGAAATAAATCAATTCTGGACATTTGCTTTGTCAGTGCCCCCCTCAAATGGGTCCCAACACCACCAGAAGTGTCAAATGGAAGCATTTGGGATAGGCAGCAATGCTCTCCCAGAGTTTAAACCCACAGTCATGGTGTATTTCCAATAAAGAAAAATAAATTTCATGTGCTTTAGGGCCTAGATAGATCAAGTAATGGTTATAAAGCAGCAGAGGTGCTGGGCTCTGCTTTGGGGGCCTCCTCCATCATTTCAAAGCACAGCAAAAAAACTCAGAATCTTCCCATCTTTTTCAGGCTGAGATTCCTTTGATGGATAAAGCAGAGCTGCTGAGATATTATTTTATCTTATCTGGCCCATAACACACAGCAAGTCATCCTGTGGTGCCAGGCTCAGGAACTGCTCTTCCCAAACCCTCTGGATTGCAGCTCAGCCCTGCAGGCCTTGTCAGCTCCTCCTCACTGCTCATTAAACGTGAGCATTTTATGAAAAGCCATTATGAAGTCTCAATTTATTACAGGGTGATAGCAGGAGCATTAGGAGCTGGAGAAATCTCCAATTTCACTGCTTTACTGGGCTCCTGGGAGCACTCTGGATGTGAGCTACCCTGAGGAAGGAGAGCATTCTGAAAGGATTTGAGATTGCTGCATCAAGGATCTCACAGGTTGATGCCATCTTTTCTTCAGGTTTTGGGTTTGGCTTCAGAATATTCTCTAAAATTACAATTTTTTCTGACTATTTATTATTTCCATCACCATTACTCCAACCTGTTCCTATGCAACTGCATTTGAACGTTGTCCTTCACACCAAATTACCCTGAGAAAAGCCTGCAGCTGCTCATTTCCTCCTGACACTTTGGGAGTTCTCCCTTCACACCTGAACATCCCAACCCATTTCTCCTGAGTTCATCTGTTCAAGAAAGAAAGGGAAATATTCTGTCACTGTTCCTCACCCACAATGAATGAGCAGCAAACAAGGGACATTGCCTGAGCTACCTGCACTAGAGGATGACAGTTCTAATTTGGTTAATTTTGGCTAATTTTGTGCTAATTTGGCTAATGAGAATGTCACCTGCCCCAGGTTGATGTCATCTTTCCTTCAGGTTTTGGGTTTGGCTTCAGAATATTCTCTAAAATTACAATTTTTACTGAATTTTTATTATTTCCATCACCATTACTCCAACCTGTTCTTTTGCAACTGCATTTGAACGCTGTCCTTCACACCAAATTACCCTGAGAGAAGCCTGCAGCTGCTCATTTCCTCCTGACACTTTTGGGAGTTCTCCCTTCTCACCTGAACACCCCACCCCATTTCCCCTGAGCTCATCTGTTAAAGAGAGGGAAATATTCTGTCACCATTTCTTACCCACAAGGACTGAGCAGCAAACAAGGGACATTGCCTGAGCTACCTGCACTAGAGGATGACAGTTCTAATTTGGCTAATTTTGGCTAATGAGAATGTCACCTGCCCCAGGTTGATCTCCTCTCTCTTTAAGGTTTTGGGTTTGGCTTCAGAACATACTCTAAAATTACAATTTTTTCTGACTTTTTATTATTTCCATCACCATTACTCCAACCTGTTCCTCCTCTGCATCAAGGATCTCACTGGTTGATGTCATCTTTCCTTCAGGTTTTGGGTTTGGCTTCAGAATATGCTCTAAAATTACAATTTTTTTCTGACTCTTAATTATTTCCATCACCATTACTTCAACTTGTTCATCTGCAACTGCATTTGAACATTGTCCTTCACACCAAATGACCCTGAGAAAAGCCTGCAGCTGCTCATTTTCTCCTGACACTTTTGGGAGTTCTCCTTTCTCACCTGAACATCCCAACCCATTTCCCCCGAGTTCATCTGTTCAAGAAAGAGGGGGAAATATTCTGTCACTATTTCTTACCCACAATGAATGAGCAGCAAACAAGGGACATTGCCACATTGCCTGGGTTACTTGACAGTTCCAATTTGGCTAATTTTGGCTAATTTGGTTAATGAGAATGTCACCTGCCCCTCAGCATGGCAGAACCTTTCCAGCCTGCAATCTGCCAGTCCCAGAGTGAGATTTCAGGGGGGTTTTGTCCCCAACCTGCTGCTCAGACCCCTCCTGTGCCACCTCCCAAGGTGCTCCTGTCCTTATCCTGCTCCCAAAAAAAGCAAAAATTGGGTAAAAAAAAAAGGAAAAACTAAGACAATGTATGCTATGGAGCTGATGAGAAGATCAGAGTCCAACCATTCCCCCAGCACTGCCAAGGCCACCACTGACCCATGTCCCCAAGTGCCACCTCCACAGGGCTTTTAAATCCTTCCAGGGACAGGGACTCCACCACCAGGGCTGGACAACCCACTCAGTAAAGGAATTTTCCCTAATATCAAATCTAAACTTCAACTTGAGGAAGCAACAAGAATCTAAGACAAATGCCCATGGTGGGAATCACTCCCAAACTGCAGCAGGGAGAGACCTGCAGTAAAAAAATGGTTATAAATTCAATTATCTGATGTTTTATTTATAAAACACATCCAAATGCATTAAAACCCTGCTTTCCTGCCATGAATAATTCTTCAGTGAGAAGCAAACTAGGTCAGATCATGGTGCTGCAGGCTTTTGAGGAACAGCCTGGTGCTGCAGCCTCACCTCCTGTCCTGTGGCTGCCTCCATGTCCAGGAAGAGGTCGAGCAGGGAGCGCACCAGGCGAGCAGCCTTGGCCTTGCTGATGGAGTTCAGGAAGGGCCTCACGTACTTCAGGAGTCCTCCCAGCTCTGCAAAAACACCAAAACATCAGATTCACCCCCCCAGCCAAGAGCTGAGCCCAGTGGAGCAGCCACACATGGCATGCACCAGGATTTGTCACAGCAAAGGTTTCCCAGGTGGGGATTTGTCACAGCAAACCTTTCCCAGGTGCTTTTTCAGCATCACCCAGAGGACAGAATGACAAATGTCACCTGCAGGGAGCCCTGGAGCAAACAGGGAATACACAGGGGCTGCAGCCTCAGCCCAGCACTGCCTGCCACTGCAGCTCCCCCAGCTGTAACTGCCTCACCTTTAAAATGTAAGGATTTGTTAAATGCTCTGAGATTTTTCTATAAAATCAGGGAGGGAGTTTATAATGTAACGATTATAATGTAAAGTTTATAATGTAAGGATTTGTTAAATGTTCTGAGATTTTTCTATAAAATCAGGGAGGGAGTTTATCATTTAGGTGTGTTTTTATTAACTCACAGTTTCATGCTTTAATCTGCCCCACCTAGCCAAGCCCAGGATGTTGGATCCTGTGACTGTTCACAGGGGTCTGAGGATGAGGGAAGAGATGAGGATCTGACTCCATGTTTCAGAAGGCTGATTTATTATTTTATGGTCTATATTACATTAAAACTATACTAAAAGAATAGAAGAAAGAATTTCATCAGAAGGCTGGCTAAGAATAGAAAAAGAAGGAATGATAACAAAGGCTTGTGGCTCAGACTCTCTGACTGAGCCAGCTCACTTGGATTGGCCATTAATTAGAAACAACCAACACAGGCCAATCACAGATCCATCACAGCATTCCACAGCATTTATTGTTAAATGTAAACAAATAACCATTGTTTACATTTTGTTCCTGAGGCCTCTCAGCTTCTCAGGAGGAAAAATCCTAAAGAAAGGATTTTTCATAAAAGATGTCTGTGACAGGATCCACCTGGTGCTCCACCACTGGAAAACCACATTCCTTAACACTCCAGCTCCACCTTGATCTGATCAGCTCTGATTTCCCTTAACTACATTTCTCTTCTAAGTCTCCTCATGAATTCACATTTATAAGAGGTGGAAAAAGGAAATGTCTTTTTTTTAATGGAGAAACACTGAAGCTGTCACAGCCAGGGAGCAGAGGAATGTGGCAGCTCCAGCACCCAGAGGCACCAGGGAACGTTGGAAGTGCAGAGCACAAGTGAAAAGTCTCCTACAACAAACACCACGTGGCTTTGGGGAGGTCCTGCTCCCACTTTGGGAAGATGATCCTGCAGGGGCAGGGTTCAGTGCTGACTCATCAGCACCAAGTCTGCACACTGAAACCACAGCTCTCTCTGCCCCAGATTTCCCACTCTCACCCAAATATCAGGTGGATCTCACACTACTGTGTTTACAAGGTTGCACAGAAAAGCAAAATCAAAACAAAGGTGGCAATGACTAATTCAGAAATCTTCTACACCAAACTGGTACTGAATCAAAACTAAAATAAGAGATTAGTCTAATTTTATTTCAATTAGTATATGGAGGAGTATCAGGAGAATTTCAGGTTGGAAGGATTCCAATAAAAACAAATGTAAACAAGGGTTCCTCTGTATTTCATTTAGCAGTAATGCAAAAGAATGCTAATGCTAATTGTTATAACAACATCTTATTAATATCTGCACATTATTCTTCATCTTTTTTATTTTTAACCTATTTACTTGAAGTTTAATCAAGCCTGATACACCTCATTTATCACACCCTTAACACGTAGAACTCACTTTTTCCAATCACTCACAGTGATCACAGAATCCCAAAAAGGTTTGGGTTGGGAAGGACCTCAAAGCCCACCCAGTGCCACCCCTGCCATGGCAGGGACACCTCCCACTGTCCCAGGGGGCTCCAAACCCTGTCCAGGCCTTGGCACTGCCAGGGATGCAGGGGCAGCCCCAGCTGCTCTGGGAATTCTATTCCAGGGCCTGCCCACCCTCCCAGGGAACAATTCCTCATTCCCAATATCCCATCCATCCCTGCCCTCTGGCACTGGGAGCCATTCCCAAGTCATGTCCAAGTCCCTCTCCAGCTCCTGGAAGGTTTCTGAACATCTCAAAGTGCAGATTTAGAACAAACAGAACTTAACTCAAGTGTGATCCTCAGCTTTAATTCCCAAACTGCAGAGCAGGAGATCCTGACCCTGCAAAGCACCAACCCTGACCCTGCAAAGCACCAACCCTGACCCTGCAAAGCACAAACCCAGAGCCCAGCAAAGCACAAACCCTGACCCAGTAAAGCACAAACCCAGAGCCCAGCAAAGCACCCAAATCTGAGCCCAGCAAAGCACAAACCCAGAGCCCAGCAAAGCACCAACCCTGACCCTGCAAAGCACAAACCCTGACCCAGTAAAGCACAAACCCAGAGCCCAGCAAAGCACAAACCCTGACCCAGTAAAGCACAAACCCAGAACCCAGCAAAGCACAAACCCAGAGCCCAGCAAAGCACAAACCCAGAGCCCAGCAAAGCACAAACCCAGAGCCCAGCAAAGTCCCCAGATTCACTACAAGAACACCACAGGGTGCTCTGTGCCACAGCTGCTCCCAGAAAAGCTTCATTTTCTCTCTGCCACAGCATAAACAAGCAGATTTTCCTACACTTAAGGTGCAGCTACTTCCACACCTCAGACTGCAAGCTGCAGGCAGTGCTCACTCCACAAGGAACCTGCTGCTCCATGGCTTTCCCCACACCACCCAGTCTGGGTTTATTTAACCTCCAGTACAAGTCCTGGATGCAAATCCCAATTATTTTAATGCAAGGCAAATGCTTTGGTCTCACACACAGCAAACAAACACAAACAAGCACAACCCAACAAATCAGCTGTGCACAGAGCTCCTCTCCAGCATCTGCTGGGAGCTGGGAAAGGTGGGCTCTGGATTGAATTGAGGCTCTCCAAGACCCAGCAGCTCCCAAGCAGCACCAGGAACCCTCCCCCTGTGCATCCCTGCCTCCCCCAGCTCCTCAGGACCAGTGGGATCAGTGCCCAACTCACTCTTTCCCACAGGAACTGCAGAATAAAGAAGGAAAACTCCAGTGGAACACACTGCACTGTTTAGCATCCCATGATGTGCCCCAGAACTCCCCAGAAAGCAGAGCCCAAGCCAACAGCTGGAATGCAGCTGTGCATTCTGCAAACTCCACACTCAGCCAGGCAGCCTCAAAGTTCCCACAGAAATTTCTCTCTCCTACCAACGTAACCAGCAACTATTTTTAGGGTTTGATTTTTCTAAAGAAAATGCAATGCCTGGTAAAGGGGTGGGATTGACAGCTCTGCAGGAGTGATAAGCAGCAGCAGCTCTGGAAAATGAAGCCTGCAGCTCATCCTCAGGGAAGTGCTTCCACCAGCTAACACTGCACACATCCAAATTCCCAATCCCAGATATTCCAACCCTACAGCTCTGTGAAATGCTATAAAAATCTGGAACTGCCACAAAGAAAAGTAACCACCAGCTAACACTGTACATGTCCAAATTCCCAATCCCAGATATTCCAACCCTACAGCTCTGTGAAATGCTATAAAACCTGGAACTGTCACCAGAAAGAAAAGTAACCAATCTACAAGTTTAGTAATCAATCTACAATTTTATCTGCTTGGTAAAGATTAAAGATTGAAGGGAGTCAATTCTATTATTGTTATTTTTGTAAAGAAAGGCTGCAGCTCAGTAGCAACAGAATCACAGAATGGTTTAGGTTGGAAGGGATCTTAAAGTCCATCCAGTGCCACCCCTGCCATGGCAGGGACACCTTCCATTGTGCCAGGGGGCTCCAGTCTGGCCTTGGCACTGCCAGGGACCCAGGGGCAGCCCCAGCTGCTCTGGGAATTCTATTCCAGGGCCTGCCCACCCTCCCAGGGAACAATTCCTCATTCCCAATATCCCATCCATCCCTGCCCTCTGGTACTGGGAACCATTCCCTGGGTCCTGCCCAAGTCCCTCTCCAGCTCCTGGAGCCCATTAAGGCACTGGAAGATTTCTAAACATCCCAAAATGCAGATTTAGCACAAACAGAACTTAATGGACAGTGCAGTCACCACCCCTTGGGGGACTGGAACCCCTCAAACCTGTCCCAGAATTTCCTGGCTAAAACCAAACTCTGTGCAGTGAAAGGCCCAGGGTGAAATCCCAGCGTGAGCCCAGCACTGGGGGCAGCTGTACCTGGTGAAAGGCACAGGATGAAATCCCAGCCCTGGGGGCTCTGGGGGCAGCTGTACCTGTGATGGTGCTGCTGCCCCCAAACTGTCACTCCTACCCAGACAGGTGACAGGAGGGGAAGGGCCAGAGCCCTTCCCACAGCTCCAGCAGCACCCTAAGCCAGGGTAGCCTGTCCTTCATCGCCACAACTCCAGAAAACACCTCCAGGTCCTGCTGATCTCCCTCTGAGCTGCACACACACAAGGGGCTCCTGAATGGCTCTAAGTTCATTTCCTTCCCTCCAGAACTCACTCTGCAGTTATTGGTGCCTTTAACAGACCACAAATACATCCCATGTCTGCCTCTCACAGCCCTGAGTTTGGTAAGTTCACAGTGGTACTTTTAATTCCTCAACCTTCCCCTTCAAAGAAAATAAAGCCATCAACCACCACCCTCTGGGAAAACCCTGGAGCTCTTTATCCTTGTACCAAACTTCAGCTCAAACTCAACCCTGCAGAGCTGAGGAGGCCACAAGAACTCTGCCCACCATCCACACTGACCTGGAGAAACTCTGATTTCCCCTTTTTCACCCAAACACACACATCTGCCCTGCTGATCATGTTTGGTGCTCTCTGCTGAGCAAAGAGCAGGGTGCAAAGGGCACTGGCACAGCACAGACACCCACAGAGCTCCTGACCTTAGCCAGGAAGGGCACAGGCACAGCAGCTTCCTCAGGAAAAGCCTGAGCTGATCTGAGGGGTTTGTTTGTCCCCAGAGACCCCAAAAGCAGGAATCAGAGGAACCTGAGTGAGGTGACAAGGACAGCACCTTTCAGGAGCAGTCAGCCCTGTCCAAGTGCCACCCACAGTGGGACAGGGCTGGAATGCCCAGCCCAACTCGAGTTTCCCCAGGGACACCAAGGGACATTGCACAATAGACACAAACTGTGACCTGGAGCTGTGGCTGAGCCCTCAGGAACTTTCCATGAGCTGCTCTGGTGTCCCTTGCAGTGGGATTGAACTGCTGCTGGGTGCTTTCCCCACCCCACAGGAAACATTTCCACAGAAAACTCTGGGCACAGACACAGAGTGTCCTGAAATGCTCCAGGAAAAAGGCACAGCCCCAAACTGCTGAGTGCAAAACAACCAAGGGCTGCCTTGAGGAGACAGCAACAGACTCCAAATCATCACTGAACAGAGAACTCAACTCCATCCCTGTCCCCTGGCACTCACAATAGAGGGACTGTCCCCTGCAGAGCTGGACAGGGGCTGCTGATGTCATGGCCAGCAGATAAATCAATGGATTGTGAGAGATGCTGGTGAGAAAATATTTCATGGGACAAACTTTGCCATTTAAAAGCAAGCAGGAGACACCTCTCATCTCAAACAGAACAACTTAGCAAAACTTCAGTCACCCACACTGAAACAGCCCCACATCAAAGGCCACAGACTGAACTGTGCATTGTTTGGAACACTGGGTCAAGCAACAGCAGATTAATATTGATGTTCTTTATTTGGATTTTAGTTTCTGTCCTGTCTCTGAGAGAGCACTTCCTGCCAAAAGCTGTTTTTCCAGCTGTCCCACTAAGCAAGGAGATAAATCCTTATTCAGGCAGGATCTCCTGGCTGTTACCCCAACTCCTGATTTCAGGCTCACCTTCTGCCTGCCCAGTCTTGGCCAGCAGTGACCCCAGCTCCAGGATGCTCTGCTCTTTGACTTGCACTGCTTCCTCATCGTTTTCCTGGACATCACGTTTCACTGGGGAGAGAAAGAGCAGGAAAGTTGCCTTGAGTGGTGTTTGAGGTGGAAACCATCCCTGCTGCTCAGCTCCTGGGTGTGTGCCCTGAGCAGAACCTGCTCCAACAGGGAGCTCAGCCTGGCCCAAGAGCTCTGGGAAGTTTAAATCCAGAGCAGGGAAGTTTGCAGAGCTCTGTGCTCCACAGAGGTTTTACCAGCCCTGATCACTCCAGCTCCAGGTTTGAACAATCTCAGCTTGTGTCACTCAGAGCCAGCACCACACACCAGAGCACAAGAGACATTTAATGGCATTTCTGGGGTTGGACGCTCCACTCTGGCATTGCTGCTGTTGCTGCTTTGTGTATTAAACTGAGATCCCACGGACAAGCACAGTGAGGTGGGTACAGCCCTCCCCACCCTGGTGTCCTGGCAGTGCCACCACCCTCTGCTCCGAGGCAGATAAAGGGACAAGTGACAGGCAGCAGCACAGCCCCAGCTCCATGGGAGTGATCCATCCCTCCCTGCCACCACCCCCAGCACAGGGAGCTGCTCCAACTCCACACAAACAGAACCAAACCCGGCTCTGGGAACTGCAGCTGCGGCTCTCACCGCTCTGATTCCCCACCAAAAGTGAAAGAACCTCGCTCTGAAGGAGGAAAACATCACAGCGACACTGCCAGGGCCACTCCTGACGCTGCCACCCACACCAGGGGCTGAGTCCTGGCCGAGCCCGACCCCGGGACGAGCAAAACACGGCGGGACAAACAAACAGACAGAGCTCTGAGAGCCGGGCAGCACCGGGAAACTCGGAAACTTCCCCGACAAAGTGAGGGGACAACGGGGGTGACAACATCTCCACAGAGGTCACCAGGACCAAGCACACCGAGCACCCCCGGCCCCGCGCGGTGCCCGCACCCCCGAAGCACCGAGCGCTCCCCGGGCGGGGAGAAGCGAACCCCGAGGGAGCCGCTCCGGCCGCGGCACCGGCGGAAACATCGGAGGCTCCCGGCCTAGGGCACGGCGGGACCGGGCCGTGACACCGCGCCCCGAACCGCCCCGACACCCCGCGCTACCGGCACCGTCCGATCGGGGCTCCCGGGCCGCCGCGTTCATTCCAGCGGGACTGGGAGGAGCGGCCGGCCGGGCTCCGGGGCTGCTCCGAGCGGCTCCGCGGGCACGCAGCGGGCACCGGCCCCGCCGCCGCACCGACAGCCGCTGCCGCCCGTGCCCCCACGCGCGGGGGCCGCCGCCGGTGCCGTCCCGGCGCGGGGCAGCGCAGCGGGGCCGGGCCCAGGCCGCGCTCCCGCCCGGCGCGCACGGTGAGTCAGCAGCGGCGGCGGCGCGGGGCTCGGCGCGGCGCGGGCGGCGGCGGGGCGCGGGCGGCGCGGGCGGCGGGCCGGCGCTCACCGATGGAGTGCAGGATGCCGATGGAGGCCTCGCGGTCGGTGGAGAGCAGGGACTGCGCGCGCTGCAGCTCCAGCACCGCCGCCGCCGCCATCTTGCCGCTCCTCCGCCTCGCCGCCAGCACGGAAGCGGCGCCGCGGCCACGCCCCTTCCGCGCGCGCGGCATGCTGGGAACTGCAGTCCCGGGCTCGCGGGCGTTGGAACGAGCGGGGAGTGCGGAGGGGCGGGGCTGGGAGGAGGGGTTTAGTGAACTGCGCCTGCGCAGACGGCAGGGGGCGTGGTGCCTGTTTGGGGCGCGGCCTGGTGAGCTATTTCGGTAGCTGGGTGGGCGTGGCCTGGGTGGGCGTGGCCTGAAGGGGGCGAAGGGAGAGCGCAAGGCTGAGGCAGTGACGTATGAAGGGCGGGGCTTGAGGCGGGGTCTGCTCCCGGCACACAGCGCTGATTGGAGGAAGGGTCTGAGCTGGGGGCGTGGCTTTTGGCCAGGGGCGTGGCAGGCGAAGAGCGCGAAGGTCATGGGAGGGGGCGTGGTCCAAAGGGGGCGTGGCCTTAAAATAGGCGGGATTACGCCGGGGACGTGGGCGTGGTCTGTGCTAAGGGTGGCGTCATTGTGGGCGTGGTCGTATAATGGGTGTAGCCAGTGGGCGTGTCCGGTGTCTCTCGGGGGCCCCCGGGAAGGAGCGGGGCACGCCGGGCCCGGGGGGGCCTCGACTGGGACCGGCGCGGGTCCCGGGACACCGGGAAAGGCGCTGGGGCTGGGAGGGGCCGGGGGTCCCACACGGAACAGCCCCAGCCGTGGGTCCGGGGCTGGAGGGGGCACGTCCTGCTGGGGGTCCCCGAGGATCCACATCCCCATGAACCCCTCAGCGCCCCGGACAGCCCCGGGGAGCGGGGAGAGACCAGCAGGGCCTGGCACCTGTGCGGGATCCTGTCCCTGTGTCCCCAAGGGGATCCTGTCCCTCTGTCCCCGGGAATCGTCCTGTCTCTCTGTCCCGGGGGAGAATCCTGTCCCTGTGTCCCTGAGCAGGATCCTGTCCATGTGTCCCAGGGATGATCCTGTCCCTGTGTCCCCAAACACGATCCTGTCCCTGTGACCCTGAGCAGGATCCTGTCCCTGTGTCCCTGACAAGGATCCTGTCCCTGTGTTCCTGTCCTTGTGTCCCTGAGGAGGATCCTGGTCCTGTGTCCCCAGGCATTATCCTGTCCCTGTGTCCCCGAGCAGGATCCTGTCCCTGTGTCCCCAAGCAGGACCCTGTCTCCAACCCCACAGTGGTGACCCTGTCCCCTCCCGGCCGCCCTGAGTGTTACAGACCCTTTCCCGTTGTGTTTCCCAGTGCTGCTCCCTCCCCTCCCACCCCTTTCCCTGCTCCCGCTGCAGGGGCACGGGCTGGGGGCACACCCGGCCTTGCACCCTCAGCTGGTCAGGAAACAGCCCCAAATCACCCTGAGCCCCTCAAATCACACTGACCCCCCCAAATCACACCGAGCTCCCAAATCACCCTGAGCCCCCAAATCACACTGAGCCCCCAAATCACACTGAGCTCCCAAATCACCACTGAGCCCCCAAATCACACTGAGCCCCCAAAGTCACCCACGGCTAAGCCCATCCTGCTGTGTCCCCGAGCAGCCCTCAGAGCAGCCCCTTTCTGCCACTGGAAAAGCCAATTTAATCCCTGGAAGGGTCAGGTTTATATCAAATGGGGAATAAAACCAAAACCCTGGGGAGTCATGTAACTGTGGGATCCTCCAGGAGGGATCACAGCAGGATCCCAAGGGCACTGTGAGATCCCCCAGGAAGGATCACAGGGGAATCCTAATGTCACTTTGGGATCCCAATGTCATTGTTGGCTCCCAATGTCACTGTGGGATCCCCCAGGAAGGATCACAGTGGAATCCCAATGTCACTTTGGGATCCCAATGTCACGGTGGGATCCCCCAAGAGGGATCACTGTGGGATCCCAATGTTGCTGTGGGTTCCCAAGGTCATTGTTGGATCCCAATGTCACTGTGGGATCCCCCAAGAGGGACCATGGTAGGTTCTCAATGTCCCTGTGGGATCCCAATGTCACAGCAGGACCCCAGCGTTGCTGTGGGATCCCAATGTCATTGTGGGATCCCCCAGGAAGGATCATGGTGGGATCCCAATGTCACTGTGGGATCTCCCAGGAGGGATCACAGAAGTATCCCAATGTCACTGTGGGATCCCAATGTCATTGTTGGATCCCAATGTCACAGCAGGATCCCAATGTCACTGTGGGATCCTCCAGGAGGGATCACTGTGGGATAACAATGTCACAGTGGGATCCCAATGTTGCTGTGGGATCCCAATGTTGCTGTGGGATCACTGTGGAATCCCAATGCCACTGTGGTATCTCCCAGGAGTGATCATGGTAGGTTCTCAATGTCACTGTGGGATCCCCCAGGAAAGATCACAGCAGGATCCCAATGTCACTGTGGAATCCCAATCTTGCTGTGGGATCCCAATGTCACTGTAGGATCTCAATGTCCCTGTGGGATCCCCAGGAGGGATCACAGCAGGATCCCAAGGTCACAGTGGGATGCCAATGTCACTGTGGGATCCCCCAGGAGGGATCACAGCAGGACCTCAATGTCACTGCCAGATCTCCCAGGAGGGATCATGGTGAGATCCCAATGTCACTGTGGGATCCCAATGTCACTGTGAGATCCCCCAGGAGTGATCACCATGGGATCCCAATGTCCCTGTGGGATCCCCCAGGAAGGATCACTATGGGATCCCAATGTTCCTGTGGGATCCCAATGTCACAGCAGGATCCCCATGTCACTGTGGGATCCCCCAGGAGTGATCACGATGGGATCCCAATGTTGCTGTGGGATCCCCATGTCACAGTGGGATCCCAATGTCACTGTGGGATCCCAATGTTGCTGTGGGATCACTGTGGGATCCCCATGCCACTGTGGGATCCCCCAGGAGTGATCACCATGGGATCCCAATGTCACTGTGGGATCCCCCAGGAGGTGCCAGCCCTGGGGACAGGCACAGAGAGGTGGCACCAATGTCCCCTTCAGCAGCCAGGTTTTGGTGCCCAGCAGTTGATGTTTAATGGGTCAGGGGGTCTGTGTGGAGCTGGGGGGCTGAGGGGGCCGTTCCCCCTCCTCTGCCTCCCTGCGGCGGGAAAATCCAGGGGAGCAGCCCCTGGGATCCCTGGCTCTGAGACTGACCCAGCCACCCCCAGCTCATCAACCGATGGCAGCCAGGTCCTGCAGCACCAGGATGGACCCAGCCCTGTGCTCCTCCAAACTCCATGTAAGAAAACTCTCAAAAATTGAGAGATGAGGCATTAAAGCCCCAACAGGAGCCTTCAGGCAGGTAATGGAGCTGGGATTTTATGAAGGAAAAGCCAGGGACCTGTGGGTACATGAGCAGGATTCTGTGTGCACCAGGCACATCCTGGCATTCTGGAGAGTCTGCCCACCCTGGCACTGAACCTGTCCCTGGATTTAATGAACCCACTCCAAAAAAGAACATTAAACAGGTTTTGAACCCCACATTCACCCCTGAAACCCAGTGGGCACAGGGTGGCAGAGGGTGGTGCAGGCTGAGATGCAGTCCGTCTGTCCATCCATCCATCCCCATCCATCATCTCTCATCTATCCCTCATCCATTATCCATCCATCCTTCATCCATCCATCCATCCATCCATCCATCCATCCATCTATCCATCCATCCATCATCCATCCTTCATCCATCCATCATCCATCCATCCATCATCCATCCATCCGTCCATCATCCATCCATCCATCCATCCATCCAGCCATCATCCATCCATCCATCCATCCATCCGTCCATCATCCATCCATCCATCCATCCATCCATCCATCCATCATCCATCCATCCATCCATCCATCCATCCATCCATCCATCTATCCATCCATCCATCCCAGAGGAAGCAGACAAAGACAAGCAGATAATTTGCCATGCTGGGGGGTGATTTCTTTTCCCTTATTAATAATAATGACAGCAACTAATAAAAATAACGAATAATGAATAAAAAGTGGGAGATTGGGCCAAGGGAATCATTTGTCCAACCTGAACCAGCAGTTTCGGGATAAAAACAATGGAAACAGGGAGTGGGATCAGGCAGTGTCATGGTCCTGGCAGTGCAGGGGTTAAACCCTGATGGGGGAATTGTGGCTTTTGGGGTGTCCTCTGATGGGTGGTGCCATGGGGAGACATTCCCAATTTTCTGTTTTGGGGGTGCCATCCCCCCTTCCCCTGTCACCGTTTCCCCCGTTCATGTCCAGAGGGGCAATCAGGGCTGGATCAGGGAGGCCGAGCTGGGCACGGATGAGGGGGCACCCCCAAGGTCCCTGCAGGGGTGACTCCTTCACCCCCCCAGACAGGACAGGGACAATCAGTGACCTCTGGACCGCCCTGGCCCCGGGTGTGGCTGCATCCCCCGAGACCGGAGCGAGCACCGGGACCGAGCTGGGGATCCCCAGAGTGGGGGGTGTGACCCCTGAGGGGCACCCCAAGCCCGAGGGTGTTCCCGGCGTGTCCCTGGTGTGTCCCTGGCGTGTCCTCGGCGTGTCCCTGGGGTTTGCACACATGTGTGGGACAGCTCGGAGTGGGTGGCACCCCTCATGGGCACGGGGGTGCCTGGGGACCCTCCACACGCGCTCCCCGCAGGTGGGGAGCCCCCTGCACACCGCTCTGCTCTGCCTGCACATCCCTCTCCCCCCTGCACGACCCCCTCGCCCCCCTCCCCCCTCCCGCTGCCGCCCCATAATCGGCTCCAGCTGCACAAACATTCCCGCACCCGGAGCCGCCGCCGCCTCCGGAGCCGCCCCCGCGCCCGCCCGGACCCTCCCCCGAGCCCCCTCTGGGCCCCCCGGCCAGCCCGGACCCTCCCCCGGAGCCCCCTGGGCCCCCCGGCCGGACCCTGCCCCGGCCAGGGCAGCTGCGGAGCCGCGGGGCTGAGGGACAGCCCGGGCTCAGCCCTGCGGGACAGGGAGGGGAGGGGGCCTGGGGGTGGGGAAGGGACCGTGTCCATCCATCCATGTCCATCCATCCCGTCTGTGTCCATCCACCTCACATCCACCCATTTCACACATGTGCATCCATTGATGTCCACCCATCCAATATCTATCTATCCA